CGGGGCAGGACAGTTGGTGCTGTAGTACACTGCAGCACTGGCTCCAGACTCTTTAAAGCTCTTGGGAAAGGAGAAATACAGGAGTAAAAAAGACAAGGTGCAAAAACATTCTGTTGAATAAAAGATACAGTGGGTTCATTTTTTTTTTGTTTTGGTGTTTTTGTTTGCTTGGTTTTTTTTAATGGAACATGCTGGCTATCTTTATTCTCCCTTTTTTTTTTAACTGAGATGATGTGTGCAGGATAAAGGGTAAGAATCGTGTGATGACTAAGAGTACAGGCTAACGAAAATGCAAGAGTGGAAAAGGGACCATTATCTAGTTGATTAGGATCCACAGCAGGACTCTGCAGACCACAGAACGGCTACAGTGCAGGAGGACAGCAAGCAGGTAAGTAAACTTGTATTTGTGCATGCCCCCACAAACACATGACTCATAAAATTCATTCCCTTCACATATTTGGATCTTATTTCCTTCATAACAAATGTATTTTACCCCTGAGGTGAATGCTTTTGTTGGTACAGATTTTCTTCATCAGGTCTCTCTGGAAATTGGCAGGCTAAGAGGTGTTTTCGTTATCACAGTTCATGAAGCACCCAGAAATCAGATCTTTAAGGCAATCAATTGTAATTATGTAAAATCTTAGGCTGCATCCAGCTCTTCCACTTTGCTCATGCTACTGTGACTGCATGATTTCAGTGGAACAGATTCTGACTCTTATCAACAGAAATAAGATCACAGTTGGCCCTAAAATTATGTTTCAGGGAACACAAGAAACTACACAAGAAAGATAATGTATTTGAGAACATTTTTAATAAATAATGTGACAAAAATTACTTTTCTGATTATTGGATCCTCAGTATGCAAAATTATGGCTAAAATATGAGGTTTCTTACATGAACATAATGAAAACATTAATCACATGGATTGTTCCTTTAGTACTGCACACCCTTTCTATGGAACCTTTCTTTAAAAATTAGCTAAATGAAAAATTTCAGTCCTCAGTAAACACCAAAACACTTTTTTTTTCTTCTTTTTTTTTTTCATTGGGGCTAGTCCTGATAGCTGTCAATAAACAAACACACATTTTTCCATTAGCACCAATGACAAAGAAATGTTATAATTACAAAAAAGATCATAAAATCTACAGACAGAGGACATCATTTGGCAAATTCAATGCAACTAATGCCTCTTTTTCAGCTTTAATGATAATCCAATGTTGAGAGAGGCCACAGGAAAATTGATAATTTTCTTTAAGTCCAGGAAAAGTGAGAAGTGTTTTGATTATGGCCCACATTTATGTTTGTCACTTTACCATCTGTCATCATTCAAATATTCCAAATACAAACATAAAGCATTAACAAAAAGATGAAAAATATCCCAAACAAATGCTTAACATTTTCAATAAGACAAAAAAAGGTTAATAGTTACAATGGTTTACAAACAAAGTTTAGTGATTGTGCTTTTAAAACCAAAAAAAAAAAAAAAGATAAGCAGTGCATTACAAAAAAATTAATTGCCAAGATCAAACAAAACTTCTTTAAGTGGCACTTCTTTTTTAAGGTGAATTGACACAAGTAGAGGTCTGAGATTTGGGCCAGTAACAGTTAATGATATTACCCAATCATTATTAAAAATGTCCATTGATTTTCTGCTTATTTTCATAAGCATTACTGAAGCTGAAAATTAGAAAAAGTTTCAGACAAACTTGCTCATGCCATGATTAGGCAAACAGCAATCACATTGGCTTACCTCCTGCCTATCCCACAGGACATTTTTAATAAGAATGTACTTGATGATGAAAATGGAAAGACAAATCAAAGTACCACAGGGGATTAAAAATGAGTACATATTTACAATAAGAGCCACCTCATCCCAAATTAATTTTACTTGCATTTGTAAAACTGTATTATCTGCAAAAGGTTAGTGAGAGACTGGCAGAAAACAAGACCCAATTGCAAGACACCATTTGGACTAACTGCAGAATACAGCGAAACCCCTAGAACAAAAGAAACTTCTGCACGTTGTTCACTTTGGGGAATTTTTTAATGAATGCTGTATTACTTGTTACGTTATCAACTGGCTCACTGGTGAACCGGCAGCGTACTAAGCACTGCCTCGCAGGGGAGGAACCTCAGGACCTCAGGCTCTGGAAGCCCCTTCTGTTCTAATCCTGAAGCAGCAGCTGGCCCAAGAACCACGAAGAGCAGTGTACCTGCCTTCTTGGGCAGCAAAGGTGATGCATTTAGCATTATAGAATAGGCAAGGGCCATTCTTAATAAGGAGGGTTTACAAAGAAAAAGTAAAATAAAAACTAGCATTCTGATGACATGAAAAAAAAGAAAAATCGTACACTCTGATTGCACTGAACGTTATTTCTGGCATCAAACATCATCAGACTTGAGGCATCTTAAGTGATTTTTTTTTTCTGATTACATTTTAAAAGCCTGTTACAGTACATGTCGTTGTCTTCAGCTTTCTGTTTCCTGTATTAAAAAAGACATAAATGACTACATGTTAGATTTTATTCTTTTAAGTTTGGTTCACATACATCTTAGAGATTTGTTACCTTTAAATAATAATTACTACTTTTAATTATGTGCAGCAATATGCCTGCATTTTGGACACACTTCCTACAATCAGAATTTAAACTGAATTAATAACATTAGGCAGAAATAAAAGAAGAAAAGAGTCATGCTAATATCTAATAAACATCTAGAATGATAAACTTTCAAAAAATGTGAAAGGTGTTCTTAGATGCTCTAATGCTTTATTTTCACTTTTGAAAGAATCTGGATAATGGAAAGTGCACATATAAATACTGTCTGCATGTTCTGTTCCACAGGTTTTAGTGTGGTGACAGTTATACTATGCTACATTAATAGACAGATAAATTACTAATTTTTCTGAATTTTCTCTTTCACAAGTTGCTTTTTTTCTTCTTGGCAGCTGTCTAAGTACAGAAATTAGCCTTATTCTAGTCATCTTCAGTAGTACATATGCAGTTACCTCCATCTCTTCTTCTTCCTCTTCTCCTTGTTCATACGCTCCCAGTACTTGCATTTCTGCAACATTCCTTCGGGCTATATTGGCTTGATCTGCCCTCTGTCTACCTCCTGATCCTCTTGACGACATAGAGCTGGAGGAGCTGGGATCTCTAGGATTATTTGATGTTGGGAACGTTGGTCTAGAATATGGCAGGATGTCCTCTGTATAATTAAATATATACATTGTTATGTTTACAAACCCAGAGATATGCTGATCCTAAAATTTCTGCATGCAGTTGATTTATTTTACTTTTTATGATCCTCAGTACATTTAAAGTGGCATCTGACAGGAATATGAAATATACAGTTTCCATAATAGCATTATAGCTTTCTTGAGGAAATTTATAGCATTCACGTAGTAACATTCACCACAGAAATACTAATTCATGATTACTGTCCACTTCATTTCAATTTATGATCACTGCTCTATGTTCTACAGGAAAATGAAGAAAAAAAAACCTCCTGTAGTATATTTTCGACCTGACTGAGTAGAAGGAAATGACAATACATGCATGATACTCACAAGGAGCTCCCTGCATCTAAATACTAGACCCTGTATTTCCAAAATTGAATTTGCAACAGAAGTAGTGGTCATGTTTTACAATTTCAGCACCATCCTGTTAAGGTAAATTTCTAGTAACTTTTCTCTATAGCAACCCACTGTAATCAGTACCAATCTCTTACAAATTTCCCCATTTAGTCAATTTACTGTCCAATCACTCCTTATAGTGACCCTAGAAACTTGTAGGAGGAAAGAATCAGGCATTTGTATGAATCTGTGTTGAAAGTCTTAGTGAACACTTGGCAAATTCCAATTCTTAGTAATTTTACCGACTTCCATATACAAGAGATTGCATTGATCAGGTCTCGTTCACATAATGACATGTCAGTTAATATTTATAACTAATAGATTACTACTATGGTTTTCCTATTCTTAAACAGGATCAGGTTTACAAATTGTCATAAATGGTCCAAGTATCAATTCTTTGGCAGAAAAGTAAAATATCTGACTTACAGATGCACTATCTGAATTCACTCAGTTCTCTTGTAAATTATATTATAATTAGATAGATTAGACACAACTACACTAGAAATGTATGGGCAAGGACACTGATCCTAAAAGCCCTGGAGGACTGTTTCTGTTTGGGTTTTCTCAGCCTTAGCTTTGTTGGTGCACAGGGAAAGTAAGATAGAAAATCTGTGTTTTTCATAAGCTTTTGTTTTCATTTTACTCTACTAAGAACCTGCAACGTGATCTGTATTAGCACCTATAATTACAATAAATAAATGGTGACAATTTAACAGACCTAACTCCACTCACACCAGCTGTGTGTGAGACCTGGAAAAAGCTGGCCTGTTCCCTGTGATCAACACCCAATACTTCAGTAAACCCAGAGCATGCAAAATAACCTTGAAGAAGATGAGTTTTTGCTGGTGTGCCTTCTCGTTTTGGTGCTTTATTTCCTCGTAGTTTCCCATCGTTTTGCTGTTCCTGTGATTCCCGCCGCTCTCCTGAATTTGTCCGCACGTCTGAGTGCTGTCTCCCATCCACCCCATCCCTCCCCTTGTAGCTCACTCCTTTCCTTTCCGCAGATCTGTCTGTCCTCGCTTCTATAGAAGCAAGTTTTGGCAGCATGACCGGCCGCACCTCCAGCTGTGATTTGGACTGGGCAGTTGGTGATTTTATAGCTGGAGGTGGCACAGGAGGGGGTGGCAAGTCTACAAAGTTAAAAAAGAATGATAATTAGAATGACACCATGCACTAGTAAAATTAAGAAATAATATTTAATTTGAACTGAAGAAGCAGATGTCCTATTTACATTCAGACCTCCCCTTCTGCCCTTCTCTTTCCACCCCAAAAATTATTATGCTACTGTTACAGCCAATGACGTGTATTTTTCCAAAGCTTGAGCTTTAAAAATACAAAGTAAAGACCTCTCACTGTCATTTCAAATCACAATATTTTCTTACAAATAATTGCAAAAAACTGTAATAAACTTTAGGCATCTGAATATTAACATGTCAGTTATGGATATCAACATAAAGATCTTAACATAACTTTGTTGATATTGATAGTTTTTGCCAAGTCCATTCAACAGCACCACAGCTTGTGCTATAGTTGCTCAAGTTCTTCAGTGTGCTGAGTGTTAAAGCAAGCTGGCTGGGGTGCAAGTATGTGTATCAGATGCACTGCTGATATATGTAAGCATAAACTATACTAATTCCTGCACTTTTCTTTCAAAATGATAGGTTAATCTAACACACATGTCCCTAACATCTGTGCATTAAAAAAAAAAATCCCACACTCAATCAACAAAGCAACAAGTTCTCAGGATGAAGAAAGAAAAAAAAGACAAAAAAGACACAAGACTTCGGAAAGTTTATCCTTAAATTAACACAGCTTAATGGGTTCTAAAATCCTGTATATTTTTAACTAGTATTTATAAGGCACACATTTGTTTTCACTTACTTAGGGTTTTTTTCTATTCCTGCATTACAACTTAATACTAAATGTGTAAACTGTTCATCAGGACAGAATAGTGCTCTGTGGAATATAAAATGTGAAGGAAAAAATCTAAAAGTCAAACACGGAAGCAATACAAAAGTGGTTCACAACAAAGCTACAGGAATGAATCACATGCAAATAAAAGAACTACAGGCTAAAAAAAGTGAGATGTGAAAGATATTTCTGAGGTTAATATTCTCAAGTGAGATTGCTAAAAAAATAACAGCTCTATTAAAAAATGTAACTTCAGCATTTTATAAATGTGTATTCGTTCTTTCTCTTTCCACAAAAATCTTGAAGCAGCTGCGTTTTTCAAACACCATCACTATATATAAAGCTAATTCACAGTCTATTCAAGAAAATATTTCAACTAAAAATTAACTAAATTGGCCCAAAAATAAAGGTAGAACTCCTGAATAAGAAAAAATAGGAATTTAACATATATGTATAAATTTGGATATGGCAGATGCAGACATCTGTAGGAGGTTTTCCAGTGACACAAAGCATAAATGAATTGATCTAGCTGTGTGGAAAAGTGCAGACATGCAGAGTTCAGTGCTAAATGAACACTTACTGGGCATCATCTTCCATATTAAACTGCTGACATAACTTGCAATTGCCCTTGACCTGTTTTAAACATGACTGGACATTTTATCAGTTATTTGGACTGGTATGATGAGGAAGAAAGCCATCATGAAGTTTACTTCCTAAGGTTGGACACACTTCAGGTAAATGAGATCTGAAACATCATTCTTGCTGCATTAACTTCAATGTCTTTGTAAAATGAAACCAAAAAAACCTAACAAAAACCCCACAAAAAACAAGCAAGCAATCAAGCAAACTTCTCCTGGTTCTAATTTATGGCTTAAGTAAGGGACCAAATCCATTTAACAAAAAATCCAAATATGTTTTCTTCTGCTTTTCTTAGCTAAGAACAAGTTGGACAACTGGCCTTATATTCCTTGCAAATTGTGTACGGTAGTTTGTTTTGCAAAGTCTGGTAGTCTGAGGAACATCACTTTTAGAGGGTAGCTGAATATAAACAACTGAATATTGACCTTTAATTTTAAGTATTTACTTAACACTCAGCATTTGCAAGTGTCTTTTAAGAAAAAGCACTGCCATTTTCAAAACTTGAGAAGGCAAAATGTGAATTAGCTGGAGGACTGGATATACTAAGTGGCTGAATCAAAATAATTTTATTTATGGAGTGGGAATTGTTAGATTATAATGTAAGAACAAAGGCAGATCAGTGGGCAACGGACTAGAAATGTTCATCTGATGGAACTAAAAGTGTAAAACAGGGAGTCAACTTCGGGTTCAGTAAGACAGTAAAACAGATTTTGGCAAGGAAGTACAGAATCAGTTATGTTGCATTCCTTTATTATCTATAACACTTTGAACATGGTGCACAGAAGTATCCTCTGTCGAATACACAACCTTAGCAATGACACTCTAATTCCAGGCACCAGAGTAGCACCCAGACTACCTACATATTCTGTGATTCTTTGATTTTCTATGCATCTAAAAATACGCTGTGAGCTCTAGCCACCAAAAAGTGAACCAAAATTCTTTCACTGTGCTGACCACCACTGTAGAAGCTTAAATCCAATATGTGCCTGCAAATTTTGATATTTGGACCACGAGGTTCACAGCCATGTCAATACCTGCTCCAAAAACCGTTGTTCTGAAGAAGTATATAATCTCTTACAATTCAACAACTAGATGAAAAATCATGTGAAGTCTGCCCAAGACCTCCAAATTGCGTGTGGTATGTTCCATGAAAGACCAGCACATCAGATCATGTCAGATCCAGATCAAAGTTTATCAAGCACAAGAATTGATCTTCATAAGCAAGGCTGGAGATGGTGATGGTTCCCACCTTTGGCAGAACACTTTTAGTGATTACAGATCTTGGTCAATATTTTAAAAATAAGATAAACTCAGCATTAGCCTGCGGAGATTCATGTGATATTTTTCTTTCTGAGGAAAACATTCTTCTCACAACATGTCTTCTCTCAGAAAAGGACATGCAGAAACAGAAGCAGATGAAGATACCCACACTCAGAAGTGTAGGCCTGTGGAACCACAGTAGTTCATGCAGTATCTTGTGTCTCACATTCCCCGCTCACTGTCTCTATTAAGTTATCAGAGCAATGAATAGCCCCTCTGTTGAGCCTGTTGATGTAAAGGGAGTGTAGGTACTTAACATCAGCCTTTTCAGTCACCCTTGGAGCCAGTTTCCAACAGCTGTGGCACAGCAAGGCACTGGCTGAGTACCAAAAGGAAGGAACCAGCATCTTTCCTGTAGCCTATAAAATACAACTTGGAACAAACTACTTTATTCAAGAATCCTATCCAGCCACACAGGACAATGAACAAAGTGGTGCTAAGTCTTGACTATAGAAAAGAAAGATGCATTGATATAAAAAGTTTCATAAAATGTCAGTAGCTCTATGGTACAGTAATAACTAAAAAAAAATGATATTCTCTTTCGAGAACATTTTTGAAACCTGCAGGGAAACTATAAAAATCTTCATTATAACACAGTGCTCCTTGCTGAGAAGAATCCTTTACAGAGGAAAAAAACCCCAACTTTTCAGAGGTCAACACTATTACACTCCTGTGGTATTTATTTTAACAGCTCAGATCACAATGAAAATCCAGATTCAATCTGCCTTCTTGAGTACAAACTGGCACAGCTCTTATTAAAAGGAAAATGGAAGCTTCCATTGTAAGGAATAAAAAATAAATCACAAGGCAACACCAAACTAATATAAAGAACTAAGAAGTATTAGTTAAAGGTTAGCTGTGTTCACATTTCATTCATGTCTATGTATTACTGTTATACTGCTTCCTACGTAACTAAAGCAACCAATGCCATTTCATAGCATGGTCAACAGGAGAAACCTTCCATATACGTCTTTTGAAAAAAGGAGTAATATTTTTCTAAATGAGAACATATACAGAAATCATGGGATAAACAAAACACCAGTAGGGAAAAATAGTTAGCTAAGTTAGTTTGGAACTGAAGTGCAGAAACCACAGATAAGCACAAAAGGATGAATTGTAAGTAGTGACAACCGAGGGAAGTAGGCCTTATTAGGTAACTATCTCTTTTAAGCTCAAAAAAGGGCTGTGCATTTGTACAGTCACACACTGAAGAAAACTGCAGAGTTTTAGATTTGATGCAATATTGGAGAAGATAGAGAGTGAATATTTTTTCTATTGTGTATTTATGCCGGCATGCTAAACTAAAGATTGATCCTGACTTAGTAAAACTTCAAGATAATTTAAGATTCCTAGATACAGGACCTCAGCTACTGTTATTCATGTACTTAAGTCAATTATCATTCAATAAGAAGCTGGTTCTTAGCAGAGGTAAGAAATGCATTCCTACCTATTTTTTACCTTGCTGAAATTTGTGCTGGGTAGATTTTTTTTCTTTTTTTACTGCACAGGCAGAGGAAGACAAAACTATAAATTATGCCAGCATGCATAATGGCTTAACATTTCAAAGTGAAAATTCACGGAAATACTTGGTAGATATTCAACTGCCTTTTGTGAGAAATTCAACTGCCCTGACATCATGTCATTGATAACACAGCTAAATAACTCAGTTACAGTCTCAACCAGCCAGCTGAGAAAATGTTAGTATTTTTTTCTTTCTCATTCATAGATTTAAAAAAGAACCAGGATTTATAATCTTGTGTGAAGTGTCAATGGCACAATTTCTATTGAAAGACCTACTTCATCAAAGTAATGACAAAGTATTTTTATCATTTTATATAAATGCTTACAATTCTGAGGGCTTGTAACTACTAATAAATCAATACAAGACAGTTCAGAAGAGATTTTCATATATATAATCTATAAAAAGACAAAACCACTATTTTAAAATTTGATTCCTTAAATTAAAAATGTAAGTAGGTCAGGCAAGGTTGAGGAGGAGAATACATCTGTTAGCTGGTTCTTGTAATGCACTCTTAGTAGTTAACTCTCTAAAAGGCTAGATGAAGAGCAATTAAAAATTCATACATTTTAATCCTTACCACCTACTGAGCAAAGATTTTTAGCAACAAATATGGAGAACATTTCACTGCTTGGATAACTGTCAAGAAACCAAACAACTGAGCTGAAATCCCATTCAACATTATGTAGAAACTGATTTAAACTAATGCTAGCAGAAAATACAAAATTATTACTACTTATACAATGCGGAGTAGACCAGAAAGCACTCTCCTTTATTTAAAAAAGGGTAGTGGTAGACTTTTTACTGCTACCTTAGTAAAAAAACACACACTTTCAGAAATTTCAATCTCTTTCACAAATCTTGCTGTATAAAGAAAAAATACAGAATTTTTTAAGACTTGGATAGGATATATTGCTGCTGATAATACTTTTGGCATTTTGAACCATTCATGCAAAGACTATTAATTTTGATATCTTTTCTATGAATGAATAATGTAAATTCTTCATGACACTGGTATTTCATGAAATGGCTAGCAAATACTATTTCAGGCGATTTGGGAACAGTAGAAAAATTTTTATATGTAAAAATAAATTCAATTTTAAAGACTGAGAAAATAATGAAGCAATGTGTTATTTTCTTCTTAGTATTTATTCAATGCTTCTAGCCACCAATAAATGCTTAAATTCACAATATGTGCTTTGCTTTATGACAAACACACGTATATTCACTTACTATGAGGAAGAAAAATCTTTGTGTATCAGGCACTCCTTTATATAAAAGAGAAGTAACAGTGTGACTTCAAGCCAACAGAAAAACATAAATATATCTGAGAAAGGTAATCTGTGTTAAATGTTTCATTCATATCTCCATATCACTTTTCTCCACTTAAGGAAAACAATTAGTAGACGATATCTTAAAGATAATTCTAAAGGGACAATATATTAGATGTGGCTATTAAAATGAATGGTTAGAATCTTCTGTAAGGTTCCAAATATGCTTATGTAAATAGATTGAGGGGGGGAAATAATAATTAAAAAAATAAAAATCAAACAAGTCCTTCAACCTTTGAACTGGGCTTTATTAGTTCTGCAGAAATTAAAGCCATAATTTGCTGTTCCCTGAATGACCACACTGTATTGCACACTAAACTGGTTAGTGGAAATTCTCCCCTAATTAGAAAATATGCTGAAGTAAGCAGATGCTATATAACACAAAACAAATATTGATCACAATTGTCAAATCTATTGCAATATCTAACCACAATGCTCTATGATTTAACTTTGTATAATTACTTTCACAAAAACCTGTCATCAAATACAGTCCCACTTCTTATTTATTCCCGTGTTAGGAGAAAATGGCCACATTAAACTCCTGTTCAGATTTATTTCTGATGGCCTAGCTGTTGTGTTTGTATTGAGGTTTGATGCTCAGCCAATTATTCAGTTAAGAGCATTCTCTTCAAGAGAATAAATGCTGATAAAATGTCCATAAAATCTAGCAAAATGCCGTTACAAGGGTTTCATAAACATGTTTCTGGTACAGTTTTGGGATTTACACCTTGCGTTGTCCCTTCACAGAAGCAAACATGCACAAAACCACTGTAATAACCTCTCGAAATTAGATAATATTCCAACAGCTCAGTTTCACTGACAGAAGGGGCCTGGGCACAAGCCAAGAGGCCCAGGTGCACTGTGTCATGCCAGTATTTAATGCAGCCTAATATCAGATAGATACTAGTGAGAGAAAATACTCAGAATAAAGTACAGATAATAGCACGGACAACCACTCATTGCTAAATTACTTCTGCTCATCGTGCTGTGAGCTTTGTATTAAATTTTTTTGTCAAGTGGCAGGAATCATAGGGAGAAGTGGCTCAAAACTCCCTCCTTGTAACCCTGGATAAGGATCTATAATATTAGGCTTTCATATGATAATGGCAAATGATGCCCCTCTTTGAAAAATTTCAGACTGGTAATGAAAGTCCTAATCAGATTGTTGTTGCCAAGAACCAGGAGGTGGGGACTGATGCCTTTCCTTCCCCTCCCCACCCGTGAGCAAATTTAGCAAACTTGACAAGACGGGTTAAGTCTCGGAGAATTTATCTTACATGAATTCCCAACAAAGCCTGTGGGTTGTTTTATAAAACTGGAAGGTAGTGCTTTAATAAAAGCTGCACCACCGGAGGCATTTTCATTAAAGGCTCTCTCTAGACAACATCACAATGTTTGCATTATCCTCCTACACTCCCAAGAGAATACAAGCACTACCTTTTCAGCAAGAGTTGATATTGTGTGTGAAGGCACGAGAGAAGATGATTAGATTTTGCTTTTACTCACAAAGTAACCACTTGCAACAATGCTGTGGTGAGGATTAAAATTCATTGATTTGTGTTGCCCACCATTTGAATGGTGAATTGTGTTTTTCAGGAAAAGATACATTCTGAAGGTTTTAATAGCCAGTCATGTGAACAAAGATTTTTATCCTAACCACACATTATTCTCAATGACTGTACTATTTATGCTATCTGGGCTCTTAAATAATGACAGTAATTAGTCGATTAGGACACTACAGAAAACAGGTGCAAGGCTCTGGAGTAGAAGCATCAATGTACAGTATTAAGGAACTCTGGCATTTAAAATGATTAATCTGTTCAGTGTGTTTAGCAACAGGAAACACAAATCACCGAATTCTGAAACATAATGTTATCTCTGTGGAAAAATTTCACACACATTCGCTGAATGCATATTTAGAAAGGTTCACTGACGTTTTCACCCGTTTCAGTGGACTCACCATCTGTGTAGACTTCTCTGCGCAGATGTCCTGGCTGGTGTTTTTGCTTTTTGGCAGGTCGGACCTTCTGTATTACAACAGCACTCATATTGCTGTCGGTAGACACGGGGCTGGTGGGTCTAGGACAGTGTGATGCATGAAAATGTCTACGGCCTGGAAATTGTTACAGAACAACAGTTATTATTTTTCTTATCTAAAATAAGATGTTTCATACATTCTCTTTTTTCCCATCAGAATGACCTAGCTATACAAAGCCTGAAAAAAATACACCATTTGAACAATAATGAAAGTCTCATCCTTCCCGTAATGAGTTTCAGTGTGAGCCGTAACTAAATCAAAGCATTTGCTTGTACGCATGTTGGCTTAGTTTCACAGAAATTATCCAACTGGTTGGTAGCTGGCAGCTCCTGCCCCAGGAAGCTGAACACCATCAGCAGTCAAGCACAAGCAGGCTTCTCACATTCCAAAAACAATAAAACTTTTCATTTTCAAAAGGCGTTTCACCTCCCCTAGCTCAGGCAGCATGAGGTCACCCATGTCATAAGCAGAGCACGTCACCAGCAGGTCTCAGGTACAGATGCCTCCTCTGCTGCTTTGAGTGAATTATCAAGAACCCACTGGGGATGTATGACTGGCATTTTATCATAGCTTATTTGCAGATGAGAAGTGTCACATTTTTAGGACGTGTAGTCAGGTGTGGCTAATATAAACATAAAAATCACTGCATAATATGAACTTGACTGTTGTAAAATTATTTACCTGTAATAGTAATGAGATGTAAAAAGATCTTTTCTAAATCTACAAATTTACACACACATAGACACACAAATTTATACGAATGTATATGTATAAAATGGATAAAATCCTGGCCTTGTGGGTATGAATAGGAGTTTTGCCACCTACTTCCATTGGCCAGGATTTCATCCAGAATTACTAAATTACCTCCCCTCTCACTCTTCGTGATGAACAGCTGTGTTGAAATGAAACAAAGGACTGTTAACTGGGAGAGGATATCAGAAATGGGAGGAAGACTGCAAATCTGTGGAGTCAGAGTGGACACAGTTGTGACAGAATTCCTCTTCTACTGGTCTGGCAGTTTAAAAGGACTGACTGGCAAAATACCATGAATCTGCTTGAAACCCGCATCCCACCCTGCCATATTCTTATTTCTTAGCTGAGTTATAACAATATCCAATCGGCCTGATCAGGTTACTGATTACCTGTATATACCAAGTGTTACTAGCAACCAGTATGTTGTAAAACACTAAACATTTCAAATGCCATATTTCATATGTCCAGTAGTATTTCAGAAGAAAGAAAAAAAGAAGAAACATATGCATATGGCTTTGCTGTATATTCATAATCTATGATCTACATTGGAACTAGTAACAGCTGTCAAATTCTGGAAACAACACAAACCCAGTTCATCTCAGCAACACAGCACTAAGAGCTTGAACACCATTTTCCCAAAGCTAACAACAAAATATGAAATGGAAAACAAATACAGTACAATTCTTTTTCAAATCTAGGGGAAATATGACTCTAAAGGTTTACTATTGATTTGGACATTTGGACAGAGGGATTAAATCTCTCATGAAGAGTGACAGAAAACACTGAAAGCGTTATACTAGGAATATACTTTTTCTCATTCAGTTCTGAGTGGAAATCTACCAGCAGGCAACAGTGAGGCCAAAAAATTAGGAACTCCTTATGAAATACAACGTAGATCAGCAATTTATTTGAACTATTTCACAAAAACTCATTTTCTGACTCTTCCACCAGTGTAAATTGACCCCCCCTCCTTTCCTGAATTTCTAAATGTTGTAAGAACAAGAGGAATCCAGGAAGCAGCTGTGGGTAAACACATTTCACAATGGCTTTTTTTAATCGTCTCCCATCAAATAGAGGACAAACTCACCTCCTGCTGCATCCTGCATTTGACGTCTGGCTACTTTCAGGCCAGCGTATTCTGCAGCCGCTGCAACAGCCTGTGCAAAATCTGCATCGGTAAAAAATGATCCATCTGAAGAGCTAACGCTAGACCGCCCACTTGAGATGTTATCTTCTTCGGAGGCTGAACCCCAGCCATTGATCATGGACCCTGTTACAGAGCTTTCCAAATCTCCAACGCTGGAGGCAGGTGTCTGCTCAAGGCCACGCAAAAGGAGCCTTCTGTTCTGCATCTTGGCAACCTCTATATCTGCCTCATCCTCTTCCTCTTCTGGTGCATCAGTATCCATATCAGAGACCAAGGGTCCTGAGATATATCCATAGGTATGTGGTGGGGAGATAGGCCTTGGAGGGGGTGGAGGACTCACAGGTTGACGTCTGCACAAAAATACAAGGGTAGGAAGAACTGAAGTCATATAACAGTCAGAGGAAATTGTAGATTGATGAAAATACTTATTTTATTTACCAACAAGTTGACTTGCCTTTTTAAATCAACAGAATTTGTATCTGAAAGGTTCAGGGGTGGTTAGGGTTTGTTTGGTTTTATTTTTGATGTAAATCAGAACTGACTGATAGCTATGTAGCTTGAAATCTACCACAAAGAAATCTGATTTTTTAACACAGTTCCTTTATCATTACTTTATCATTACTTTTAATGGAAATTGGCTTATTTTGCATAAAGTTTTGCATTTGTTCCTTTTTCCTAAAGTAGCACATGTACAACCAGGTGAACAGGTGGTTACAATTCATGTGACTATTAATAAAAAAATATTTCTGCACATTTGAAAATATGAGCAAAAGAAGTGTCTGTATATTGCTCTAGAGGATTGAAACTATCAGTGTAAACAGCTGCCTCTATACAGATTGCTCCATAAACACTATCTTCCCTCCACCCACTCCAGTGATTCAGAAAGATATGAAAAGAGATATTATTTCTTTTAAAAAAAAATGGTCTAGGTGATAATATAAAGGAAGAATTTTCTACTGACACATTAGTTCTAGATTTTAAGGATACCAACATGCTTAAAGATGTATAGGTTAATTTATTTTGAGCTTAAATCATCAGTAATGGTGTCTCCAGCTTAAAGACACAAAATATTATATATCACTAGATCAACTCTGGTTTAGTTAATACTTTACTCAAAAGTATGAGGTAATAACATTGTCAACAGGTTTTCTTGACAGGGCCACAGGCATGCTCTTTAACTGCCATCTGTCTGATAGGAAGAAATACTTTCTGCAGCAACGGCTGTATTGTTTGCTTTGCTTATCAGGAATTTCTACTGCAGCCTGCTTTGCAAAAATTTCCAAAGTAATTTTCCTTTGTCAGTTTTCCCCTCCTGTTATCTCATGGAGAAATGATGACTCTCATAAACTAAGTCTTTTCTTTGAGGGGCAGGTTCACGATTTTTTTATTTTAATAAATGCGAATACTTACTAATTTTGAAAGGAAAATTTAGCAAGGAAAAACCTAATACTTTGTGGCAAGAGCAAACTGGAACCTCCCTGAACTACATAATCTAGCCACTGTTTTCCACTTGCTGTATAAAGTACTGAATGGAATGAAGAAAAGGTCAGTTAGGGATACACACCAAATAATACTTTAATGACCTCTCTTCCCCTCAAATCTCAGAAGCCATTGCTGCATGGATACCTCTACCTGCCTTCAACTAGAGAGCTTGCCCAATAAAGTTTTATTGCCCTAATTTAAAGCTCTTGTGACAACTGTCTTTGTAATATATTTGCCAGTCTTTGTGTTCTCTAGGTTTTGGTATTAGAAGACAGGCAGCTGGTTACAAAATATGCTAGGGTTCTTGAAAATATAGCTTGCCTGCCAACCTTTAAGATAAGCTAATTGAGAGCAGCTGGTTCATGGGCATACAGAATTAACAATACTTCATTCACTTTATCTGATACAGTGGTTCTTGCTTTAACAGTGACATCGTCTCCTATCTCAACTCAACTCTCGCTTTAACATTGGCATCATCTGCTATCTCACTAAGTCTTTAGTTTTTTTCTTTGCTTGTCCACTCTTCCAGAGCACAGATTTCTATTTAGTTTGCTATACTTCTATCAAGCTGACTGGACAGAGGAATATACAGTACACTGTCACTGCCAGAATCATATTCTAGATGCCTGGTTCTGGTAAGAATCTGAAATAACATTCAGCAAAACTACAAGTAAAGCTAATAAAATGTATGACAGTATTTTAGACATTTTCACTATAAAACCACCATTAACAAACCACCTCCAAAAAATACAGAGAGGCACCACTCGGAATGTATTCTTAATTGGAAAGTACCATCACACCATATTCAAAACAGACCTTCACTGCGCCTTCTAGAACGGGCTACAGCTGTTGAGCACAGTACACTCAACTCCTAAACAGAAATGCCATGGGTCATATCAATGCTGTTACATGGAAAAGGTAGTCAGCCAAGCCTTGCAGATCAAATAAATAGAATTATGTGAATACTTTTTAACTGATGTAGCAAAAAAAAGAAAGGAAACAATGTTTCAAAAAGTAAGACAAAAAGACAGATTAGTCACTAACAATTCTAAAACTTTCAGCAAAGCTAGACTTAACCATTGTAGATAGTACAAAATAAATATACGTTTTATTTTTTCAGTCCACTCAATGAGTAAGCTATATGCCCTAGGAACTTAAATTGGAACATCCTTCCTGATACTTCTGCCACTATTTTTGACGACATTTATGGTGAGTAGCCATGAGTCTTTGTGTTGAGCAAACGTTCTATTTTCCAGGCAGTTGCTGGCCAGTTATGCATGCTTGCATACATCTCCTCCATTGCCTACTCCATTCTGTATGCCAGTATGTATCTCCCACTCTCCAGAACATAGTAGCCGAGGTTCTGGAAAGTCACTCACAACACATCATTCACTTAGCATTTTGCTTTTCCATTAGCGTCCAGGTAGTTTAACCTCTAAATAACCCAGAAAACTTAAGTGATTAAAATGAACAGTTCTGTGCCTAGACATACTAAGGCCAATGGAAATGACAGGAAAATATAATAAGCGACCCACTAATAAACAGAGTGATTGTAAAGACTTCGAAAGATAGAGGAAAAGATACACAGTACAAGAAGTGCTACCATAAAGAGTAAAGAAAACAAAACAAGGCAGAACAAGTAGAAGTAAGGAACAAAAGTAAAAGCAAACATAGATCCTTTTAAAAAAAAGATTAACAACTACTGTTTACTTAAAAAGGAAACATAAAAATGAACTAAGTTTTTAAAACATATTCTTGAAAATACACCCACAAATGTCCAGCAAGCTACACCAAGAAAATCAAAGTTCTACAGTCTACTCGGCAAGATCAAATTTATTTCACTATATTAGGCTTGCATTTCACTAAAAATAAAAAGTATGGCTACAATATTGCAGGTGAGTTTGTATACTGGTAGTAATAAACAGTATATGCAAAGCACTGGAGGAAAAAAAAATAAAAGAAATATATTTGGGGATGGAAAAGCTGTGCTTTCTTAAGAAAAAGCAAGACAAGAAAGCATCATACATAAAAAGCCTCATTCAGAATTCACTGTTTTATGGAAGAGAAGCTGTGAGAGTGTATATGCAAAATAGATTGTACTAAAAGCAACCCAGAGAAGAAATAAAATTTTCTTGTAACAAATATCCATCTTTATTAATGTTGGTCATTCCTTTAAATAAGGGTAGGTAGAAATGTTAAGAAAATTTTGCAAGCAAAAATTTCCTGTATTAGGATTTATGAGAGGAGGAAAATCTATAGGTTATATAAATTATATATTTATATATATTCATGCATATTGGTGACAAGTTAATTGCACAGTTACTGTGAAATAATGCACGCTATTTTATGGTAATAATGCAGTAAATCTATTGTAAACAATGGAACTGTAATTATATGGTAAGCTGTGTTAACGATACCACTTTAATATCCTGATGACTGTGAATTTAACTTGTGTCAGCATCGTATGTACCGTAAAGTGATACACTGCATTTCTTTCCATGGTATAATAATAAAGCAACTTAATTACATATTTCTGAGGTTACAAATAGTTCTAGTGTCCCAGATTAGAAGTTAAATATTAACAGAATAAATATCATGGGGAAAATCTTGGCCTCACTGAATTCAAGGGGAAGTTTCAGTGGAGCCAGGATGACTTCTGTTACATCTCTCTTGCTATATTTGCATTGACACACCTCCGGTCAGATTGGTGTTGTATGTGTCCCAGATCCTCCTGACAGTCCTGTAACATGGGCTGGAGTTCTTCCTGGGGAGAGGGAGTGAGAGTGGCAGTTGACTGATGGCTATAGGAGACAGCGGCTGGAGAGGAAGCTGCTCCTCGTACAGGTGGAGTAGGACCTCGCTCATCTTCTTCCTCTTCCTCCAGCTCATCCTGCTGCAGATACATCCTTGCAGGTGGGACAGGACAAGGTATTTCTTGGTCATAGCTAAAATGAATTTTTTAAGAAAATAAGGACTTAATTTTTTAACTGTGTAATTAGGATATCTGATACCTGTATAAATAGCCCATTAAAAGAATCACTGTTATATGTGCTCTTGAAACCGGGTTAGTAAGGATGTACTGAGTGGATGTACACCACTCTCAGTAAGCGATCTCTCTAAATAGCCACAATACAGCTAGTTGAGGAGCACCAGAATAGTATTGATGGAAGGTCTCGCTGTCAGCTTGTAGAGCAAATTACAGTTCAATTAACTAGTGACTAAAGTGAGAAATGGATGATGTATTAATTTTTCTTACCTTTCATCCACTGAAAGACTGTAATCTTCACTATTGCTATGGGGAGGTGGATGTGCTGGAGGGGGTGGAAGAAGATCTGCCCAGTTCATACCAGCTTGTTTGGGAGCCTTTGGGGTTCGAGCACCTTTCTTGTGCCCTTGACTCCCTAAAAAATAATAAAAAGCAGTGCATATTTGTAATGTTATGAAGTATCTCCTCAGCAGTACCCTAGTTGCCCTACAGTCCCTCCCAGATCCTCACAATTCCCCTCCTCTGGGAATTTATTTTGCACTGAGTTGGAATAAAATGACATTCCTTTTTTACATTAAATTGTAATAGCAGCTTCTTTGTAGAATTACTTTACATTTTTAAGCACGTGAATGTAACCAGAAACTTTACATAGCATGGAAAAAGCACATGGGATACACAGCTTGAATTGTTAATAAATAGCCAAAATGTGATAAAACCATAAATGAATTTTACAAGTAACGTAATTAAGAGTGAGCTTCCTACTTCTATTAATTACATTATAGATTATAATCTAAAACAAATGAGCTGTAGACATATTTTCTATAGTGCCTTTATACTATTTAATTGCTGGAACCTAAAATACAATATGATACAGATATGATCTATTAAAGTTCCAGTGTTGCATTAAGCCACTGAATATATGCAATTTGTACTTGTCCACTGAAACGTTTTAGGCACAATGAAATTACTGGTTTTAGTCTAAATGGCAGGTGCAGTTGAAAATAATTGCTGGAACAACTAAAATAACAGAAAAAAGAAGAAAGAAGATCGATGAGGTATGGCACAAATGTTTTCAACTACTATTACTGGGAAATTATAGCTCATAATAGAACAATGCAGTTTTAACTAGTCCAATAACTTTGAATAAGACCAATTATTCAGGTGGTCTTGAATTTTAACTTTGGACATGGCTATGATCAGAACTGACTGCACCATTGCTCCTTTTTGCGTTTTTATGCTTCTTTGTTATTATTACTTCTTTAATTGCAGATAAAGTTACCATATTTTTGAATCCTTCATATTTCTCTCTTCAGCTGAGGCAAGGTTTTATATTACCATGGTTTTGCTTTATACACATGATTAAATATATCGCAGTGAGATTTAGGAAGCTTGTTTTTCTCACTTCTGCTGTCTCAGATTTTTCGTTCTTATGGATAGTAGTTCTGCTTCTTACTGTTCCACATTAGCTGCCAGACGCAAATATGTTTTAGCTATGTACAACTATTTTTCTGGTATTTCAGTATGTCAAGTAAGACCCTAACTGTCCCAAGGCAACCATCATCTGCATTCTCTATCTTAGGCACCATGATATATACTAGGTTCAGCACAATTAATTTGTTACTCTGGTCACCTTGCTTCA